GACACTCACGATCTGTTCTGCAGGAGCTTATTGCTTTGCTGTAGCAGCATCTGTCTGGCAGACTGTTATCACATCGAGGGATAAAGGAAAAGTCCATCTTCCCCTGGAGTTAAGTGTGGGAGAGTCTCAGGAGGGGTGACATTGAGTCATCTTCACAAGCTTGTGATCCTAACTTAAAGAGCTTGGCCTGGAAGCTTTCACCTGCCTTCTGCAGTATTGCTTGGTGATGCAGCAACCAGCTGGGTGTGGTGTGCCAGGGAACAAGAGCAGGGGAAGACCCTATGCTGCTGCACATGTAGCCAGCCCCTGGGTGAGTCTGGAGGAGAATTAGATTCTTGCTGCATGTCTCAGACTTAAAAATAGCCCACACCAGTGTCCAAAACCCAAATCCACAGCTTCTGCTTTCCCAGCAAAGAGCAGGGCTCAGGGTGCCAGCTGTCTGTATTTAAGTGGGAGCTTGTGAATTTGTGTGTAACTCTGTAAGTCCATGTTCAGAGGCTAAAAGAATACTTTTAGCAGAGAGGTGTGGTTGCTGTGAAGCAGTCAGAGCTGGACAGGAACCAGAGGCGGGTACGGATAGATGTCCCATGCTGCTCTCAGGACAATGAGGAATCCTCTTGGGCAGGTGGTGTTGGCCTGCTGTCCACATGCAGCTGGTAGTTGATGGAATCAGGAATCCCTATAAATAACTGGTCCAAGAGACACAAAAGTTAAAACCTCCCAAGCTGCTCCTCATGCCACGAATGCTTCCCTCTTTTACTTCCATGGAGTCTGCTGTATGGCTGGTTGGGGTGGGCTGCATGAAACAGCTGCTTGGCTGCACCTCCACTGACCTCCCAGAGGGTAAAGCTTGGAAGGGTTCCACGGAGCCGGCGGCGAGCAGCACCGCGGCTGTCCCGGTGAGCGGCAGGAGTCCAGCCGCGGGTTTTGGACGTGAGGCCTCAGGGAGATCCGCAGGAGGGGCCTGCTGGTGTGGCGGGCCTGGCTGACAGAAGCCATCCCGGGGTGGAGTCTGCCCTGGGCGCGGGGCCGGGAACGCAGCGGGGAACGGGGGACGCGGTGGGACATGGCGGGGCCCGGGGGGGACACGGGGGCCTGGCGCTAGGATGGGGAAACCGGGAACGCGGCGGAGAGGCCTGGGCCCGGCCCAGCGTTGCCATGGGAGGGGGGGGGGGGGGGGGGGGCCCCCCCATCACTGTTGCCATGGCGACGAGCTCCCAGCAGCCCCTGCGCTGGCGACGAGAGGGGGGTAATGGAGAAACGCGCCAGCACGTGACCTGGACCACGTGGCCGCGCGGGGCGCCCGCAGAGGGCTCCCCCCAACGCCACCCGCAGCGAGGCACCGCCGCGGAGCCGCAGGCGGGGCTTGTGACGTCACGGCGCAGCCGGCCAATCGGCGCGGGCGGGGCGGGGCGACGCGGCTGACGGGACTGAGGCGGCGGAGGAGTCGGCGGAGGCCCCGCTCCCGGTCCCGCCATGGCCCAGCGCGGCGGCCCCGCCGTGCTTCCGGATAACCCCTTCCAGGTGCGTCCCCCCCGGCGGAGCGGCCGTACCGGCGGAACCGGCCCCGGCCGGCCCCCACCTCACACCAGCCGCGCCTCTTGCAGGACCCCGCGGCGGCGCAGCCCCCGCCCGGCCCCGAGCATGCGGCGCTGGACGCCTACAGCCCGTTCGAGAGCGGCGCGGTGAGGCGGGCGGGACACCCCCCCCACCCCCCCCAACCCCCGCGGGTCTCTCGGCGGCCACCGGCGCCTCACTCCCCGCTCCTTCCTCCCACAGCCGCCGCCCCCCTACCAGGCCCCGTCGGCGCCTCCGCCGCCGCTGCCGGCGGCCGGTGTGCCTCCGCGGAAAGCCAGCCCCACGGAGCCCCGCAACTACGGCTCCTATGGCACGCAGGTACCGGGGGTGGGGAGGGGGGGGGAAGGCAGCCTGTTGGCCGCCGCGGGCTGGGCTGGGGAGAAGGCGGGAGCCCCAGGGCCTGCGCTCCCCGCGCCACAGGCCTCAGCGGCAGCCGCCACGGCCGAGCTGCTGAAGCGGCAGGAGGAGCTGAACCGGAAAGCGGAGGAGCTGGACCGGCGGGAGAGGGAGCTGCAGAACGCGGCCCTTGGTGGCTCCGCAAGTGAGTGGCCTGCAGGGCAGGAGGGGGGGATGGCAGCCGCCTTTCCCTGACCCCCTGTGCACAGGCACTGCTGCTCTCTCCTTGTCTCCTTTGCTCTGCAGCGAGGCTGAACAACTGGCCCCCGTTGCCATCCTTCTGCCCAGTGAAGCCTTGCTTCTACCAAGACATCCCCGTGGAGATCCCTGCTGACTTCCAGAAGACTGTTTCTACCATGTATTACCTCTGGATGGGTGAGTCCCTAGGGGAAATCTAAGGGCAGATTCTGGGAAGAGGTAGAAGAACAAGTGTCCTGCATGCGAGTGAACGCTGCTGGCTCTGGAAAAGTCATGACTAACATGTGGTGCCCAGGTCTTGGAGGGGGCTGAGCGCTTAGTTTGGGATGGGGGCAGCCTTGCTCAGCTTGTCTGACTGATCTCCTCTCCCCCAGCCAGCACCATTGCTCTCTTCCTGAACTTCTTGTCCTCGCTGGCCTGGTTCTGTGTGGAGCCCTCGTCCGGTTCTGGGTTCGGCCTCTCCATTCTCTGGGCTCTCCTCTACACGCCCTGCTCCTTTGTCTGCTGGTATAGGCCGATGTACAAAGCTTTCAGGTGTGTATAAGCTTGAGCTCCCAATCCAGTAAAGCAGTGAGGTGGCTGGCTGCATGGCTGGTGCTTGAAGCTGGGGAGACTGGGCTGCTCGGATGAACAGGTCCTTGCCCCAGATGCAACACTGACAGTGTCCCAGCTCCTTGTGACCTTTGGGTCTGGGGGATGTGGTGATTCTGTGCTGAGCTTCGTGTTCTCCTCGTGCCTCCCGCTTTAAGGAAGGTTTGAGAGTTTTTTTGTGGCCTAACCTTGCCTGTCTCTTTCTCCCAGGAGTGACAGTTCGTTCAACTTCTTTGTCTTCTTCTTCGTCTTCTTTGCTCAGAATGTGATGTATGTGCTGCAGGCCATTGGCATACCAAACTGGGGATTCAGGTGTGTGTTGTGTTGACCCCAGGGAGTGCTGGCTATCCAAGTACCCCAGGAAGGGAGGAGACAGGTGGAGAAGAGGGAACCTGTGGGCAACCACCTCTTGTTTTGCAGTGGCTGGATATTGAGCCTGATAGCACTGCGGAAGAACACGGCCGTGGCTGTGATGATGATCCTGGTGTCCTTGTTCTTCACAGCAGTGGCTGTGTTGGGCATCATTATGCTGAAAAAGGTGAGTTTGGATTGAACCTCAGGGCTGCGGGAGGGCGAGGGTGCGTTTTGGCAGTCATGGGGTCGCAGCTCTGTTCGTCGGGGTCCCGCAATGGGGCCAGTACCCTGACCCTGAGCATGCTGCTCTCTTCTAGATCCACTCCCTGTATCGCCGGACAGGTGCCAGCTTCCAGAAAGCACAGGAGGAGTTTGCTGCAGGGGTCTTCTCTAACCAGGCTGTACGCACTGCGGCGGCCAACGCTGCTGCGGGTGCTGCCACCAATGCCTTCCGGGCGCCCTAGCCGGGCTGGGGTCCCGGCTTCTCATCGCACGTGGGCTCTTTCTAAGGAAGAGGAAATCCAAGTTGCACTTTCATTGGATCCCCGTGTGTCTGCATCAGCTGTCAGAGGCTGCCTCATCCCAGCTTGGAAGTGCTGGTGCCTGAATAGTCTGCTGCTCTAACCCTTTTCCTCACGGATGGAGGCTGTTCTGGTTTGTGCTGGTCCCTTCCCCTCAGCAGACTGGGGAAGGAGCGGGATGGGAGGTGCTGTGGCCAAGCCCTGCGCCTGTCATCGCCTTCCCTTCCAGCACCAGCTGTGGGGGGCGGGCAGGAGCCTCCTCCAGACCTGTGACAAGGACTGAAAGGGCTGCTCCCCTTCCCTGGGCTCTCTTCCCCCACCTGGTTATGCCACTTGTGTACCCTGGGCCACGAAGGGCTCCCCTCATGCCCAGTCCCTGGGGAAGGCCGAGGCCAGCTCTTCCCTGGAGGTTTTGCCTGCCTTCCCTGTGCTGTGGGACCTGATCCTCAGCTGAGAAAATCATCCCCCCTGCTCCCCCAGGGAGCAGGGCTGGCTCTGGCTCTAGGGTGCTGAGCTGGGGGGCAGCCCCCTTCCAGTCCCTTTCCCCATCCTTTCCCTCTACTTTGCTGGGCTGAGCAAGTTCCAGGTGCAGGGAACAGGAGAGCGGGTCTGGGACAGGCGCCAGAGCTGGGTGTGATGCTGGTGGGACTCCTGTCCATGTGCCCAGCTGCAGCCACCCAGGGCGTGCACACGCTGGTCCCTAAACCCAGGCTGAGCACCAAGGAGGGATCCTGGTACCTCCTTAGCTTGCTCCTTGTCTCCAGCGTGGGGGTGAACAGCTCCCTTCCTCCTCTCCTCTTGTCCTGAGGCCAGTGACCCCTTACACCTCATCACGCTTCCCCGGGGGCCTTTGCCTTCTCTTTGCGGGGGCAGAGCTGGTCACTGTGTGCAGCACTGCCCCATATGTGCCCCGTGTCCCTGCTAGCCCCCGGTGCTTCCTCTGCCAGTGTCCTTGGCCATCCCTGGGCCTGGTGTCCCTGGCTTGGGGCTCATGAGCTTCACCCCATCTCTTCTCTGATGCTCCTGGGTTTGTCCCTGCTGCTCCTGGGCTGGCAAGAGGGTTCGTGCCTTCATCTGTGGGGGCCACCGCCTGCGGCTCTGCCCTCCCTGTCCCACGGCCCAGGGGGGCTGGTGATGTCGGAGGGCCCTGCTCCACCCGTGGCCACCCTGCCGCGGCGTCCCACGTGTTGCTGCGCCCGACGCCAAGCCGCCTTTAGGTTTTATTTAAGGAATAAAATGAAGTTTGACTCCTCGCCTCCGCCGTCTCCGTGCGCTGCCCCAGGGGAGCGGGAGGGTCGGACTACAGCTCCCGGCGTGCCGCGCAGGGGCGGCCCCGGTGCGGGCGGCTGCGGGAGCCTTCCCGGAGCTGCCCTGCGCCTCGGCAGCGCCCGCTCCGCCTCCTGCCGCGGGCGCGGCCACCGGGCTGCGGCCCCGGCCGAGCGGGGAGCCCGGAGGCCGCCGCCGGGGCTCGGCGGGGGGGGGGGGTGGGGGAAGGGGAAGGTGATGCTCGGCCGCGCTCCGCGCAGCATCCTGCCGCCCGGGCGTCCCGCGGCGCGGGGGCTGGGGGGAGCGGGGCGGCGAGCCCGCCGGTAGCCCCGTGCTGGGGTCGCTCCTGGCAGCGGGACCCCCACACGCACCATCACCCCGCTCCGCGGGAGCTCCGGCCCCTGCGCCCGCCCCCCACCCCCCCCCGCGGAGGATGCTCCTGGGCGGTGGCCGGACCCCCGCCCGCTGCCCGGCCTGCGGCTCCCGCCTCCCGGCGCTGTCCCGGGGGCCGGCGGCCAGGCCCGGGCACCGCGTCCTGGGCGGCGGTTCTCGGCCTCCGCAGGGCAGCATGATCCCCCGGCGGGGGCCCGGCGCTCCAGGGACGGCGAGAGAGGAGGAAGCCCCGGGGCCGTGCTCTGCCTTTGGCCGGCAGCTCTAGGCCGGCTCTCCGGCCGGGATGCGAAGGTACCGGTGAGGCTGGTTCTGTTCCCAGGACAACCCGCGGAGCTTCTGGCGGCCGCGGGTCCCGCGTGGCTGTGGGCGCTGCCCCGAGCACCCCACCCGGGGGGCAGGAAAGAGCCGCCGTCAGCATCCCTCGGGAGGCGAAAGGTGGAGCCCGGCCCGTTCCCGCAGAGCATCCATTCCTGCTTCCCCCGGGTCGGCCCCGTCCCGGCGCGGTGCTGCCGCCTGCCCCGGGGCTCTGGGGCCGGCTGCCCCCCCGTGTCCCCCGCCCCGGGGCAGCCATGCCCTCCCCCAGCGATTCCAGCCGCTCGCTGACCGGCCGCACGTCTCGCAGCCTCACCCACCTCCGCGTCCAGCGGACCTGGCTGCAGATCCTGCTGGTGCTGGGCTTCATCCAAGTGATCCTGGGTGTCCTGATCGTCACCTTCAGCCTGGTGGCAGCCACCATCACACCCTCCAGCAAGATCCGGCACTCCTGCCCGTCCTGGGCCGGCTTCTCGGTGAGTCTGGGGCTGGGGCGGTGTGTGGAGGGGCCTGGCACTGACCTGCTCTGCCGGGTCCATACAGCTCCCTGGATGCTGAATTTGCCACTGGTCCCAGGGGTGTGTAGCCCCGCTGCTCCCCCACCCTCTGCCTGTGGCTGCCATGGTGCATTGTGGGAGAATCCTGAGGGTTCCCTCAGGGTGACTCTGTGAGGGATGGGGACCCCCAGAGCGGTGCAGGGGGCTATCCAGGCTGTGAACACTGAGGTGCCACGCTTCCGGACAAACGCTGAGCAGGTTTATGCAGCCTCGGGCAGGGAAGGGGGTGTGGGGTGCTGCAGTGGTGACAGGGCGGGGGACTGTGCAGCCCTGCCCTGCTCCCGAGCTGAGCGGCGGGATGCTCTGCCTACCACGTATGTGGGGTGAGGGCAGGACCCCGGCAGACCCTAGGTCCCCCGTGAGGACCCTGCGGCATGGATCCTGGCCTGCGTTTGCTGCCCGACACGGAGCTGCCTGCAGTCCCCAGGCTCTCCAGTGCCCTGAATCAGCAGTTTCTCCTAGCTTGCAGTGCCGGGGCTGCCCCTACGGCCCTGCTGCTCCTGGGCTGGCTCTGGGCCCGAAGGGCTGGGGGGGCTTTTGCCCGAAGGCGGGGGCTGCTCTGAGCCCCGCTGTCTGGCAGACACCCCCTCCCCACCCTCACCCCTGGGCTTGTGCATCTGCAGCTGGCGCTGTCAGGGCTCATCGGCATCGTCTCCTGGAAGCGGCCGCTCACCCTGGTGGTAGGTGTTGGAGGGGGGGGCAGGGAGCCAGGATGGGGAGGGCAGCATGAGGGGGGGGGCCAAGCAGCCCCACGTGCCCCCAGATGTGCAGCCGCATGTGTCGGCTCCCTGCTCTGCAGCCCTGCCCCCCTGGCAGCCCCTCTCCTCCCCGCTGCAGATCACCTTCTTCACGCTGCTGTCGGTGCTGGGCGTCATGCTGAGCCTCGCTGGGTCCATCCTGTCCTGTCAGAACGCGCAGCTGGTGAAGTCTTTGGAGGCCTGTGAGAGGGTGAGGCTGGCCAGGGGGTGCCACAGTGCACCTCGGCGATGGAGCGCAGCTCATCCCTGGCTGCAGGGCTCTGGGGACATGGGGAGCTGTGGAGCAGGGGTCTGGTGGCAGGCTGCACTGGTGGCTCTCAGGGGAGAGTGTGGCATCCGAAGGTCCCTCACCAGTGTTCCTTGTCCCCAGGACAGGGACTCGTGTATCTGCTGCCAGGCCCACTTGGAGCCCCCCCCAGCCTCCTGCAGCCGGCAGAGCGAGATGCTGACCATGTTCCCCAACCCCGACTGCCGGAGCATCCGCATGGCGCTCAAGGTGGGGGACCTGGGGGGGGGGGCGTGGAATGGAACGACAACAAAGGCTCCCTGGGGAGTGGCCGTGCACCCTGCCATGCTTTGTGGGTGTCTGCAGCTCACCCCACTCCTCCCCAGGACCTCCTCTTCAGCGTCTGTGGCTTGACCATCTTTTCCACCATCATCTGCACGCTCTCTGCTGTTGTGTGCTGCATCCAGATCTTCTCCCTCGACATTGTTCATGTGGTGAGTCCAAGCCTTGGCCCGGGAGCAGATGGGGCTGGGGGGCAGCACTCCCAGGATGGGGGGTGGAATCTAGGGTGCCAGGGCAGGACCTGGCCCAAGCCAGGTGTGGATTAAGGCTCAGAACACGCTTCCCTTGCTGAATCTCTGGGTAGGGGGTCCCAAATCTCCCTCCTCCCCTCTCCTTGCAGCTGGTCCCCCAGCGCTCGAGCTCCGTGACGCTGGAATGCACGTCCCCCCCCGACACCTTTCTGCAGAGCATGATGGACTTTGAGGAGTTTGTGCCCCCGGTGCCGCCACCCCCCTACTACCCACCTGAGTACACCTGCAGCTCCGAGACCGATGCGCAGAGGTACCCAGCCGGGAGCAAGGCTGGTGGAGCAGGGCCACCATGGCGCAGGAGCCTGTTTGCCCCCCAAGCAGGGCTTGTCCCACCCGACATGGCTTTTCGGCTCTTGATTCTGCAGCATCACCTACAACGGCTCCATGGACAGCCCTGTGCCCCTCTACCCAACTGACTTCCCCCCTTCGTATGAGACCGTGATGGGGCTGAGGGGAGACAGCCAGGTGGGAGACGGGGGGCTGCGGGCAAGGGATGATGAGGCAGGGCTGGGCTCCTGCTCTGCCTGTGCCCTGACCGCGCTGTCCCACAGGCCACCCTGTTTGACTCGCAGCTGACGGACGGCTCGCACGCCTGCACCTGCGACCGCGTCCCCTCCATCGTGCTCAGCGGAGAAGGTGAGCGTGCCTCATCGGCGCACCTTGGGCTGGAGCATCGGTGGGACGGGAGAGGGGCCGCGGGGGGACCGGCCCTTCCTAGCCGCTCTTCACTCGCGCCCGCTCCTTGCAGTGTCCATGGACAGCGGGTCCCTGATCATGTCTGAGATCATGGACATCCCCGGGGACAGCAGCCCCTCGGAGGACTCGTGCCTCCTGGAGCTGCAGGGCTCCATGCGCTCCGTCGATTACGTCCTCTTCCGCTCCATCCAGCGCAGCCGTGCGGACTACTGCCTGAGCGTGGACTGCGTGCAGTGCAGCCACCACGCGCGCAGCCCCACGCTGGGCTTACAGGGGCCCTTCGAGGAGACACCCCAGCCCCGGGTGCGGGGGGAGCGCTCCTACTCCTGCTCCACGGCGGAGCCTGGCCACAATGGCATCTTGGTGGGGGGAGCCGTCACCCACAGCTGCAATCGCCTGGAGGGGTTGGCCCGCTGCATCGGCCCCTGCTTCCCTGAGGTGCGGCTCAAGGAGAAGAGCTCGCTGCAGGGGCGCGGGGGTGGCCGCTCTGCGGGGCCCAGCACCGGGCGCCTCTGCCACCCACGGCGCAACAGCGAGACCTCCTGCCCCTCATCCCCGGCCCCGGGGCTGAGCCAGCGCCTGCTCGTGAGGTCGCACAGTGACCCCGGTGTCCTGATGGCCAGCCATGCTGGTAGGTGGCATTGGCATCTGGGATGGGGACGTGCGCGCAGCAGTGTCTGTCCGGTGCAGCCAGCAGGTTTTGGCCACGTTTCTCTGTGGCCAGGCGGGATTAGAGCTGGTCTGAGGTGGGCGGTTGCACCTGGGGAATGGGGAGAGCAGGTGGGGTCTGCTGGGCCGGGAGGAGCCGGGGTTGTGTTGCCCGAGCTGGTGTTGGGGGTCCTCACAGTGGTGCGGGGTGCTGCCAAAGCTTGAGCACTCTTTCTGCTCCCAGCAGATTTCAGGGAAGTACTTTATACCAAAGCACTGGAGGACACCGTGTCCAACTCCTCTGCGGATACAGGTCAGGGTGCTGGGATGTACTGGGCTATACAAAGAGGTGGGGGGAGTGTTTCTGTAGCCCTTTGGGGATCAGAATCACCCCGTTGGGTCTGGGGCAGTGGAGACCTGCAGTGGTACCGTCCCCACCGGCTGGGGAGGGGAGACAGCAGGACCTCCAGGGGCTGTGGGGACAGGTCCCATCAGGACCAGCATCCCGGCATCTCACGTGGTGTCTCCGCAGGGCTGTGCTCGGAGGCCTGCCTGCTCCGCCGTTCACACTGTGACTCCCCGCCGCTGCTCCGGGCCAGCTCGGTGGGGAAGAGCAAGCTGCTGCCCTCCAAGAAGGTGACACAGCAGCTGTCGAAGACAACCACCCGTTCGCTGGGGGACCTCAAGGTCTGCCGGGGCACCCGTGGGCTGGTGGCCAGGTTCCTGCAGAGGCCCAAGCGCAGCCCGGCAGCTGGCGTGGAAGTGCCTGGGCACAGCTCCCAGCGCCACAAGCAGGTGGGCTCCAGCAGCCACGGTGCCCCAGGGGACAGGAGCAGCTCCTCCTTCCCAGGGAGCCCCATCCTCTCTCCCTCCAGTCCCCACCAGCATCTCCACACTGGCCCTTCCAGGGTCTCTGCTCCCATGCCGTGCACTTCATGGTGTCAGCACCCTGCCTTCAGGCAGAGCCTCCTTCCTACAGCCCTGTCCTTGCCCAGCCCTCCTTGGCACGGTCCCCACTGTAGGCATGAGTGGGACAATCGGGAAAATCGTGCAGTGTCGCAACAGCTTTGGCTTTGCCCCTGAGTCACCACAGCCCTGCAGCAGATGCTGGGACATCCTGGCATCAGCTCATGGGATGTTGGAGGCCTTGCACGGCCCGGGAAGCCCTGGCGGGAATGAGCCCATCCTCACTGCCAGCGTATGTGCGTGATGCACACACCATCCCCTGCCACCCCTGCCCTCTGTGCCTGCCTGGCTGCCCCCAGAGCGTGGGGTGCTGTGGGCAGGGATGCCAGCCACGAGGCTGAAGCCTGTCCCCGGGGGGTTGCAGGTTCCCTGGAGCGCCTGGTCGGGAGCAGAGCGTCCCCATGAAGGCATCCACCTGCAGAGCTGCGGGGATCTGAGCTCCACCTCGTCCCTGCGACGACTCCTGTCTGCCCGCCGGCTGGAGCGCGGCCGCCCACGGAGCCTCAGCGGGACCTGCAAGGAGAGTGTCCTCTGATGGTGCACCCCCCCACCCGCGGCACAGCCTCCGCAGGGACCCTCCCTGTGCCCCGGTGTGGAGAAGGGGGTCCCACTCTGGGCCAGGGCCCTCGGACATTGCTCAGACATTGTTGCTGCTCCAGCAGGGCTGGGTCCCTGCGCCACTGCCCTGGGGCCTCCTGCGCCCCTTCCCCAGGCGGGGCCAGGGCGAGGGGCTGGTCCCCTGGGGTGTCTGCTGGGGGGCCAAGATGGCCATACCTGTCCCCTGCGCTGGCCGTGCCTGTCCCCTGCCCTGTGCCAGCTGTGCCTGTCCCCTGGGATGGCCATGTCCATCCCTTGCCCTGTCCCCCGTGCCGGCTGTGCCTGCCCGTGTGCCCGCCGTGCCTGTCCCCTGGGATGGCCATGTCCATCCCCTGCCCTGTCCCCCGTGCCAGCTGTGCCTGCCCCTGTGCCCGCCGTGCCTGTGCCCTGGGATGGCTGCGCCTGTCCCCTCCCGCGCTGGCCGTGCCTGTCCCCTGCCCCGTCCCCTGTGCCAGCCGTGCCTGTAACCCGGGACGGCCATGCCTGTCCCCCGCATCGGCCGTGCCCATGCCCTGTGCTGGCCAGGCTCGTCCCCTGCCCTGTCCCCCTACCCTGGCCGTGCCTGTCCTCAGCCCCGTCCCCGCTCCCCTGCGCTGGCCGTGACCCGGCTCCTGCCTGGCTCCCCCCGGGGCCGGGCCCGCGGCGTTCCCAGCCGCGCTGCCCCTCGCTACAGACCGAATAAAGGTGGTGGCCGCCCGCCCGGGGCCGTGGGGCCGGTGGCGCCGGGGGAACGGAGGGGGCGGCAGGTGGGGGGGGGGGAAGGGAACGGGGAGGGCGGTGTCAGCTGACCGATCACGTGACCGGCGGGGCGGGGCGCCTGCGATCCCGGTGGCGGCTCCGGTGGGTCGGGAACTGGGGGGCGGGGGGAGCCGGGGCCGTGCCCGCCACCCGTGCGGCTCCCCCTGGGTCTGCGGCCCCGTTACCGTCGAGGCGGCAGAGCCGGCCCCGTGCCCGCTGTCTTGCCCAACCGGGCCCCGGCCCGCCCAGTACCGGAGCCGCACCGGCGCCCCCGGGCGTGGGCGGGACGGGAAGGCCCGGGCGCCCTTAAAGGCGAGGCCGGCAGCTGACCCGGTGCTGCGGGAAAGGTCGGGCAGCCAGTGCGGCCGGGACGAGCTCGGGGTGCCACCGGGACCAGAGACTTCAGCGGTGCCGCCGCCACTCACGGGATCCCCGGGGGGACGTGGAGGGGCCATGGGGGCCGTTGGTGCCCTGGGCTGGCTGCTGCTGCTGCTGCAGGCCGTGCACCGGGCCGCAGGTGAGCGCGGGGCCGGCGGCAAGGTGAGGGTGTCTGGGGGGCTGGGGGCAGTGCGGGAACTGGGGTGCCTGGGGACGTGACGGGGTGCAGAGCGCAGGGGCAGCGGGAGCACCCCGGGGGCAGGCAGGAGAGTTCTGGCAGGGACGCGTCCCCGAGCCGGCAGCTGCCCTCACCCTGCCCGTGCCCCCCCGCCCCCCAGGTGCCCAGCCCTGCAGCCCCAAGTATTTTGGCCGCGATGCCATGGTGTGCGTCTGCAACGCCACGTACTGCGACACGCTGGACCCCGTGGTCCTGCCGGCACCGGGCACCTACGTCAAGTACGAGAGCAGCAAGGCCGGCAAGCGGCTGGAGCGCAGCGAGGGGAGCTTCCAGCGCAGCCTGCGCGCCCCAGGTACCCGCTGCAGCTGGGCAGAGACGGGGCAGACCCTGCCTGCGACCCGCCGCCACACTGGCTCCCCTCCCTGCAGATCTTGTCCTGACTGTGGACATGACACAGCGGTACCAGAAGGTGAAGGGATTTGGTGGCTCTGTCACTGATGCGGCTGCCATGAACGTCTTTTCCCTTCCGGAGACAGCTCAGGATCATCTGCTGCGCTCGTACTTCTCTGAGGAAGGTGAGAACATCAGGAGAGGAGGAAGGGATGGTGATGGGGACCCTGCGGGCCTCTGCCTGGGCACCAGCAGGGCTTGGAGACGTCCTGTCCCACTGCCCACCCATCCCACCCCACTCTGCAGGGCTGGAGTACAACCTCGTCCGGCTCCCTATGGCCAGCTGTGACTTCTCCCTCCATGCCTACACCTATGACGACGTTCCCTTCGACTACGATCTCACCCACTTCAGCCTGCGAGACGAGGACACAAAGCTGAAAGTGAGCGGCAGGAGGGAGCAGGGTGGGACGTGGGGGCAGTGCAGGAGCTCAGCTCAGGTGGTCCCTCTGCCCCTTCCTGCAGATCCCCCTCCTGCACCGAGCCTTGGCCATGAGCAAGCAACCGCTGTCGCTGTACGCCAGCCCTTGGACCTCCCCGACCTGGATGAAGACCAGCGAGTCGTTTGTGGGGAAGGGCACACTGAAGGGGCAGGCAGGGGACAAGTACCACAAGACCTGGGCCAACTACTTTGTACGGTAAAGAGCGCTGGGGGTGAGGGGACGGGGGGGATACTCAGGAGGGGATCCTCAGCGGTGGCGCTGGGGAGGTGCTGTGGGTCACCTCTTTCCCCTGTGCCCAGGTTCCTGGATGAATACGCCAAGCACAACCTGACCTTCTGGGCAGTAACGGCAGAGAATGAGCCTTCGGCGGGGCTGATCAACAACTACCCCTTCCAGTGCCTGGGCTTCACGGCCGAGCAGCAGCGGGACTTCATCATACGGGACCTGGGCCCTGCACTGGCCAACAGCTCCCACCGCGACATCCAGCTCATCATCCTGGACGACAACCGGCTCCACCTCCCGCACTGGGCCAAAGTGGTGAGTGTGGTGTGGGGTCTGCCAGCATGAGGAGCCAGGGCAGAGCCCCAGTCCTGCTGGCACAGCATGTCCCCATGGAGGGCTCAGCCGCTCAGTCCCACGGCGTGAGGGCTGGGGCACTGGCTCTGCCCCCCAGGCACCGGTGGCCACTGACTTTTCTCCCTGCCAGGTCCTGGAGGATGAAGAGGCTGCTCGCTATGTCCACGGCATCGGCATCCACTGGTACCTTGACTTCATTGGTCCCATACAGGACACGGTGGTGCCCACTCACGAGCTCTTCCCCGACTACTTCATCCTGGCCACGGAGGCGTGCATTGGGGCCCATTTCTGGGAGAGGGATGTGATCCTGGGCTGCTGGGACCGGGGGAACCAGTACAGCCACAGCATCCTGATGGTGAGGCCCCCGCGTCCCCCCTGCACGGTGGGCCCCGGAGAGGGCTCCTGGCACACTCCCTCTCCCATTGGCACGCCACTGCTTGGGCAGAAGTCTGGGCTGTCCTGTTGCAGAACCTGAACCACTTTGTGGCCGGCTGGACTGACTGGAACATAGCCCTGGACCTGGAGGGGGGTCCCAACTGGGTCAAGAACTACGTGGACAGCCCCATCATTGTGGACAGCAGCGAAGGCATCTTCTACAAGCAGCCCATGTTCTATCACATGGGGCACTTCAGGTGGGTCGTGGCCCCTCAACCCTCTCTCAGCTGCCTGGACTCCAGCTTCATGGTTGCAGTAGCAGCTTGTTGGGATGGGAGCTCTTCTGGGGTCTGACTCTCTTCCTGGGGTTGCTCCTTGCTCATGCCTGTGCAGTAAGTTCATCCCCGAGGGCTCCCAGCGTGTGGGGCTCGTCGCCTCCAAAGAGTCCAAGAAGACGGACCTGGAGTACACGGCTTTCCTGCGCCCCGACGGTGCCGTGGTGGTGGTGGTTCTGAACCGGTGAGCAACGCAGCCCTGGGCTCCAGGCATGGGACCCCATCCTGGTGCACTGGTGCTGCGGATCTGACCCCGCTGCTCCTCACCCTCCAGGTCCCTGCAGAACGTAACCTTCGGGCTGGCTGATACGGTCGGCCTCATCACAGCCGTGGCTCCAGCCAACTCCATCCAGACCTACCTGTGGCAGCGGCAGTGACGGGGCTGGGACGCCCATGGCTGGACTGAGCCAGGCCGGGAGAGCAGCCCCACACTGCCTGCAGGCTCGGCCCTGGGGGCACAGAGGAGGCGGCTCACCACTCGTCTGCACAGCGATGGAGCCGAGTGCTCGGGCGAGCTGGGCCGGGGAGCGCTGTGCGTGTGCAGGAGGGCCAGGGGCACCGGTGCCCCTCGGGAGGGAGATGCCACAGGCTGTGAACGCTTTTTTCTGACGCTCTGACATTAAATGCTGATGTTGCCTTGATGTCTGCCGCTGGAAGAGAAACGTCCAGGTCCCTCCCCTGCTCCCAGGCACTGTGGCTGGGTGCCGGCTGGGCATAGAGCCTACAGGAGTCCCAAGAGCAGCATTAGAGCACCTGGAGCCCTCCCAGGGTGGCCGCTCTCCCTGCCCACCCTCCTGATCCCCTCCTGCCCTGACAACTCGCAGTGGGACTTACTCTGTCAGGGAGGTGCTCCAGGCACTGGTCTGCTCCCAGTTTCAAGCAGTTGCTGCCTGACAGGGCCCTGAGCCAAGCCTTGGGTGCTCTCCTACTGCCTTTGCGGGCAGGTTTAGGAACTGGCAGGCAGCTCAGGATTTACCCTGCACACAGACGCTCTGAGTCCTGGAGCAGGAGCCGAGGTGAAAAGCCTGGACACCTGCCTTGGTGGAACCCTGGGGAGGGACCACGGCTGAGCTTCAGCTTTCTGTGCTTTTCCTGCTAAAATGGAGCCACTTGCAGCCCGGTGCTGGGCTGGGAAGGTGTGTGGATCACATCTTGGGGTGCTCCCCGAGATCGGGGCTGGAGGCAGAACCAGCATGGTGGGTTCAGGGTACAAGCCAGCTCTGGATGGGGTCAGAGCAGTGGCAAAGCTCCTGGGGCTTTGCAGGGAGAGGGATGCCGGCCCGGCTGCAGCAGCCCTGCCCTGGGGTGTGCTGTCCCATGCAGGGATGGGGCAGAGCGGTCCCCACTGCGATGTGGGTGCACCAGGGGCTCAGCACCCGCCGTGGAGCTGGGGCAGCTTGAGCAAGCAGGCACGGGGCCAGGAGTGGGTGCTGAGATGGGCACACCCAGGAAGGAGCTGGAGAGCTTGGAGGGTGTTGCTGAGCAGAGGATTAGGGCAGGGAGATCACGATTGCGGCAGGGTGAGGAAGGGAGGCCACGGCTGCTGGGCTGATCCGGGTCAGCCAGGTCGAGGCAGGCGGGATGCGGCCTGAGGATGCTGACAGCAGTGATGCTGCGTGGGCCGGGCACAGCCCTGTGGTGACTCCAGCAGCGCCCGGGGTGGTGGGGAAGTGTGTGACAGGGTCACTCTGGGAGGCTGGCACATCCCACACTGCGGTGTCACCAGGATGCTGCTCTGGGGCAGGAGCCCTGCGATCCCCAACCCTGGGAGGGGGGGGATGCCCAAATCTGTGCGGAGGGGCCGGAGCATCCGGCTCCTGCCCGGAGGCTGTTTGTGTTTGTCCACAAGAGGGAAATATTTCTCCAGGATCGCAGCACCAGCAAGCCCCGCTCCCAGTATCCCACTTCCAGCATCCCTGCGCCCGGGTGCAGGACTGCTCCTCCACCTGCTGCTTCCTTCCCAGGTTCTTACTTACCAGCTTCCTTCGACCTTTTACTGGCTCCGGTACTAAAAGCTGATGGCCGGATGCTGAATCATCTTGGGACATGTGCCCTCGTCCCTGTGCTCTGCTCGCCTTTGAAGGACTGACGCGCTCTGAGTTTAATGGAGAGGGGGCGAATCCTTCAACGTCACTGGGCTTGGCTCATTAATTCTTGTGCAAAGCGTTGGCTCATTTTGGGGTGCACACTGACTCGTGGCTGCTGGGGCTGGGAGGATGGGAACCCCCCACCCCCAGCAGCTAGCCTGGAACCAGTGACCGCCAGCAAGGGCCAGGTCTCCCTGTGCTTAGGGCTGAGGTCCAGCTGCCTGGCAGGACCCTGGAGCCTGAGCTGCTGCCACGATGCTGCGGCAAGGCTCTGCACACTCGCCTCCCACTTTGGCACTGATGCTTTTGGAGCCGTGCTACCCATACAGGCAGCTCAGCCCCAGCTCCCTGTTCCCATGGTCCCCATCCCCAGTGGCCTGGCTAAGGGACAAAAGTCACCACCCAGGCTGCTCTGCCTGCTGCAGGGCAGGTCTGCAACCACCCTGAGAAAAACCCTGCTCTGGGATCGGCAGCAAGAAGCGGATTTCAGAGGATTTAGTGGGGCTGCTCAGCATCTCCTGTGCCACCCACTCTGTGCTGAGGCGTTGCCCTTCCCCTGGGTCTCACTTTTCCTGCTCAGCAGGAAGCTCTTATCAGCCTGTGTTGGTAGGGACAAGCTTCAGCAGCCTCCACGGTGTTTTTGCTCCCGGGAGCTGTGGAGGCTTGTGGGAACCCGAGCCAGCTGTGGTCAGGCCGGGCTGGACCCCAAAAGAGGGTGTATGGAGCATCCCAGGTGTCCAGGAGGAAGCTGATCGCTGTGGGGCAGCAGGGGCTGACCTATAAACCCCTCCCCAAAACTGGGGCTTATTAGCCCTGGGTGTAGCAGCCGGCTGACACGTTAGTCACAGCTGGGGGTGGGAGACCCACAGGGCAGAGGGACCAGGCCAAGAGTTTCCTTCTGGGGCTGCCTGTTTGCCCCATGAATTGTAACTGGGGGCTGCCCAGCCCCATCTGCCCCTTCCCCATGGCAGTTGGCCTGGGTGCCCCGTGGCTCGGCCCCACATGTCAGGTGGAGGCGTGGGATCATGTCAGGGCAGTGCTGGAGGGTAGGAGGAACTTTGATGAATTGAATTGCCCCACAGCTGCATCTGATATGCCAGAGAGAAGAAAATTGGCCATGAAGTGCTGCTCCACCTGGAGAGGGAGAGCTGACGGAGTGGTTTAACCCTGTGGAGGGAAATTCCGAGCCCTGGTGTTCAATGCTTTTGGGCAGGAGGAGCAGTGGCTGGGAGCTGGCTGCTCTCTGTCCCGCTGGGCCACCCCTGCGGAGAGATGTTGAGGCCACCCCTATAGCCCCCTCCCCTGCTACCAAAAAAACCCACCACTCACTCAAACCCAGGACAGTGCGTGCACGTGTGTCTATGTGAGCGGACATGTCCTGGGCAACGTGACCAGAACCCAGCAGTGCCCGTGTGCTTAGGTGAGCCGACCCAGTTCAGCCCTGTCTCTTTGGACTGGGAGGGTTGCTCTTGAAGGAGCAGGGATCACCCCCGGAGCAGTTTGTCACCAGGCAGAGGAGCAGAGGCTCTGCCCCTGGCACAGCTGGTGTCGGCGTGGTGGGTTCCCCTCTGTGGGTCTGGCTCGACAGTGCAGCCCTGGCTGCCGGCGCAGGGGGCCAGAGCGCAACCCTGCCCGTTCAGGGTGTGGGGTACTTGCCAGCTTGCTGCTCCTGCTGCTGCCTTCCATGGTGTGTGCTGATGTGGGGCGAGCAATGAAAAAGGCTTGGGCAGGGCATGGCAGCAGCTCCAGCTCCTGTGTGGCTGCACCTGATGGATCCTTTTGTGGCACCGGGTCATGCAGCCACGTTTGCCACCCTTACCTGGGGGTCCTGGACCCTCCCCGTGGGGAATGGGGGAACCACGGTGATGGGCAGGGGTAAATCACCCAAGGTGCTGTTAGAGCTCATTAACAGGACAGCCAGCAGCGCCTGTGAGCCTGCCTGTGGGCTCTGCTGTGCTTCCAGGGATTCATCCAGACCCTGCCTGACAGAATAAAGAAATCAGTTCTTCCTTCGTGGCATTGTAGTGAGTTCTCAGAGCTGCCCCATGCTGCATATTCCTGTGCTGGTGGGGTCTTTTGAGTGGCCAGAGCTGCCAGCATGATGTTCTCGCCTCTCCTCGCTGGGGGCTGACACCCTTGCACGGCAGTGGAAGGTGAGGGGGACCTGGTGTTCCCCACCTCTGGCCCTGCAGCGAGGAGATGTGCAATGGTCCGGGTCCAAGACCGGGAGTAGGTACGGGCCAGGAGGAGAGCAAGGAGGAGCTGTGGGGGTGGGAGAGGGTGTGCTGCAGAGGGAGGTCTTGAAGCAGCTCCCTGTAAAGGCGAGGTGGGGAGGCTGGAGCTGCCTGAGGAGGAGGAGGAGGGCTGGCAGCAGCACAGGTCAGGGAGCAGCCGGGGTGGAGGAGGGGGGGGGGCTGTGGGATCCTGGGGGGGGGATGGACCCACCTCACCTCCCTGCAAGGCAAGGGTCTCTGCAGGGGGGCAGGATGGACCGTGTGGCAGGAGCTTCCCAGCAGTGGAAGGAGGAGCGGAGACAGCGCTGATCCAGCCGGGGAGCACAGCCTGTTCCTCCAGCCCCTCCTGCACCCACGCCTGCCTTGGCTGAGGGTGCCCCCACCCGCAGGCTCTGCTCCCCAGGACCCACTGGAGCTGGGGGGACACGGAGGGGCCATGGGGGCTGTCAGCATCCTGGGCTGGCTGCTGCTGCAGACAGTGCCCTGGGCTGCAGGTGAGCACAGGGACGTTGCGGGGGTGGCAATGGGACGGCACGGCTGGGGTGCCCTGGGACAGGGTCAGGAGCCTGGGTGAGCGCAAGAACTGGGGTGCCTGGGGACGTGACGGGGTGCAGAGCGCGGGGGCAGCGGGAGCACCCCGGGGGCAGGCAGGAGAGTTCTGGCAGGGACGCGTCCCCGAGCCGGCAGCTGCCCTCACCCTGCCCGTGCCCCCCCGCCCCAGGTGCCCAGCCCTGCAGCCCCAAGTATTTTGGCCGCGATGCCATGGTGTGCGTCTGCAACGCCACGTACTGCGACACGCTGGACCCCGTGGTCCTGCCGGCACCGGGCACCTACGTCAAGTACGAGAGCAGCAAGGCCGGCAAGCGGCTGGAGCGCAGCGAGGGGAGCTTCCAGCGCAGCCTGCGCGCCCCAGGTACCCGCTGCAGCTGGGTGGGTGGCAAGTGCCACCGCAGGACCCCCAGGCACCGCGCACTGACTCAGGGTCTCCCTCGCAGGGCTGCTGCTGACGCTCAACGTCTCCGTACTGTACCAGCATGTGAAGGGCTTTGGCGGGTCCCTCTCTGACGCTGCTGCCCTGAACATCTTGGGGCTGTCACAACCAGCCCAGGACAACCTGCTGCGCTCGTACTTCTCTGAGAGCGGTGAGCAGTGAGGGCACCAGCAGCATGGGGTGGCTCGCAGGGTCCCCAAAGGCAGCTGCACTGGTCCCTGCTGCAGGGACACCCATCACCTGGGCGCCTGCTCCGGTGCCTTTTGATGCCTTTCCTGCTCCACAGGGATTGAGTACAACCTCATCCGGCTCCCCATGGCTTGCAGCGACTTCTCCGTGCGCCCCTACAGCTATGACGATGTCCCCTACGACTACGAGCTGAAGCACTTCAGGCTGGCAGAAGAGGACGTGAAGATGAAGGTGGGAGGCTGAAGCCACTGCCATCAGCCCCTTGTCCCCTCTCCCACCAGAGCTCCTGCGTGTGCAGGGTCCCCCATGACCAGGGTGCTGCTGTGCTGCACACACAGTGGCAGGGTGCACGGGGACAGCCCGTGGGAGCTGGCACCTCCTCCGGGGCATGTCCTGACGCATTCCAGCTGGCGCTGGCAGGCTGTGGAGCCGGGGCGCTGTGCCATGGGGTGGTGCTCGCAGGCTGCCATTTCCCACTGAGGTCCCTTGAGTGCTCCCCTTCCACCCACGCTGGGCTGTGTGATTTCAGGGGGCCGCAGCTACAGCTGAGCCGGTCCCTCTGCCCCTTCCTGCAGATCCCCCTCCTGCACCGAGCCTCAGCCATGAGCAGGCGGCCACTGTCGCTGTACGCCAGCCCCTGGACCACCCCAGCCTGGATGAAGACTAACGGGGATGTCCGTGGGAAGGGCACGCTGAAGGGCCAGGCGGGGGACAAATACCACAAGACCTGGGCCAACTACTTCATCAAGTACCATCCCCTGGAGCTGGGATGCTGGAGGATGGCAGAGGGCTGAGGGGGGGGCTGGGGAGCAGGTTGGGTGGGCAGAGGGTGGGCAGGCATGGCTGACTTTGCCCCCCTTTTCCCTGCGCCAGGTTCCTGGACGAATACACCAAACACAACGTGACCTTCTGGGCGGTGACAGTGCAGAACGAGCCCCTTGCAGCCCTCCTCACGCCCACCCAGTTCCCTACCATTGCCTTCACCGCCGCGAAACAGCGGGACTTTGTTGTCCAAGACCTGGGCCCCGCACTGGCCCGCAGCCCCCACCGCACCCAGCTCATCATCCTGGACGACCAGCGCATCTACCTCCCGCACTGGGCCAAAGTGGTGAGGAGCAAAGCCCACCACCCTGCCCAGCTCCTTCCTCTCCCCCCGCTCCGTGTCCCACCCAACCTTTGGGCTTCAGCTGAAAATTAAGCCAACAGCTGCTCCCAGCCCTAGACAGAGCAGGAGGCAAGTAAGGTCTGCCAGAGAGGGAGATGGAGCCAGCTAATTTGGTAGCAACCACCTCTGCCTGTGCCTGGCTGAAGCAGGGACGGGAGGTGGCATCCGCGTCCCGGATTCCCACAGCGCAGCACGCAGGGGCGCTGCCAGTGCACCACCACCTTCTCCAGGCAGAGTTTCAGCTGATTCGGCTTATCCTTTGCAATGCTGAAGAGCCGTTTGTGGGAATTACCTTAAACTAAAGGAAAGAGAATAAAATGTGTTCCCGCCCCTGCCTCGAGTGAGGTTGGAGCTGCAGGGGAGGGTGCAACACGTCCTCCCTCACCTCCAACTGGCAGCACCCTGGGGACCAGGCAGGGCCATTGTGCAAGACCACCCTGGAGAGGGATACAGAGAGAGGACCAGGCGGCAGCAGGAGCCCCGTAGGGGGCAAGGAGCCCACCCAGGGGCACATCTGCCCCTGCACACCCATTGCTCTGTAACCCAGCAGGGTGCCGGCACCACCTTGGGGTGCTGCATGTGGCTTTCTGCTTGGGGTGCAGGTGCTGAAGGGGCCTGCAGGCGTGGGAGCCTGCACTGCTGGCAGGAGGGGACAAGAGGGGAGGCAGGTGGCCCTAGGAGACCCCGCTGGCACGTGGGGGTCCATGTGTCCATCCCCGTGGGGCTCAGGGTGCTGGTGACCCCAGTGTGAGGCATCTCTTCTGCTCCCCCCCAGATACTGGGCAATGCCACCGCTGCCCGCTATGTTGCTGGTCTGGGGGTTCACTGGTACCTGGACAGCATTGTCCCAGCCCGCTGCAGCCTCGAGGCCACCCACAAGCTCTTCCCTGACCATTTTCTTCTCTACACGGAGGCCTGCAGCGGCTTCCTCACCCTCCGGTTCTCTGTGTCCCTGGGCTGCTGGGAGCGAGGGGACCACTACAGCTACAGCATCCTGAAGGTACGTCCCACCCCCAGCACTGCCTGCCGGGGGCTGGGGGCCCAGCTCAGCCCCGCTCAGCCCCTTCCCCTCCTGCCCAGGTCCTGAACCACTTTGTGGCTGGCTGGACTGACTGGAACCTGGCCCTGGACCTGCAGGGGGGCCCCAACTGGGTCAAGAACTACGTGGACAGCCCCGTCATCGTGGACAGCAACAAGAACGTCTTCTACAAGCAGCCCATGTTCTATCACATGGGGCACTTCAGGTGGGTCAGGGCCAGGGGGGCTCAGGTGCTGCTGCCAGCCTGAGACTGGGGTCACGATCCCTCTCCTGCTCCTCTCCCTGCAGCAAGTTCATCCCCGAGGGCTCCCGGCGCGTGGGGCTGCACAGTAGCTGCCGATGCCTCATCTGTCAGCTGGAGCACGTGGCCGTCCTGCGCCCCGACAGGGCCCTCGTCCTGGTGGTCCTCAACAGGTCAGTGGGGCAGCCCGGCCGGGGGAATGCGGGGGGGATGCTTGGCACCAGCCGTGCCAACCTTCTCAGCCCCTCTGGTCCCCCAGGTTTGGCTGGGACGTGCCGTTCGGGATCCAGGACCCTGACGTTGGTTTCATCGAGACTGTGGCTCCAGCTCACTCCATCCAGACCTACCTGTGGCGCCAGCAGTGATGGCCAGGGCAGTGCTGGGGATGGTGCCGAATGGCTGGGGGGGTCTCCAGGGGTCGGCTCTTCCCCCACCCTTTCCAGCATCCTTCAACAGTGGTGACCTACTGCTTGGGGGTGCAGGATAGACCAGGGGTTGGGCCCCCGTGCAAGAGGCTGCATGTGCTCCCAGCACTGGGGTCTCACCAGGGCAGCTGCTGGTTCTTCCCAGCCTCCCTCCTCCCTCCCCGGCACCCCCCGGCCCCCTGAAAGCTCCTGCTGCGCTGTGTCCTGGACCACGCTTCCACACGTGGCTCCCTTGAAACCTTCGCGTGTGTCTCAGGCGCCAAGTAAAGCCGTGACGTGCTCCCTCCGGTATGCACCGTACCCGTCAGTGTTTCCTCTATGCTCTCAGAAATCGCTCGGTTTTCCTCGGAGAGGCGGTGAAGAGCGAGGGGTGCCCCGGAGGGCTCCATCCCCGTGGCCCGCGTGTGGCTGCCTTGTTTATCGCTGCAGCTGGAGCCTCAGCCGCTCGCCAGCTCTTGATTTGTTTCATATGTGCTGTTGATTTTCCCCAGCCTTTTTTTTTTTTTTTTTTTCCCTTTTAAAATCAAAATGTCCTTTGCACTGGGGCAGACACTGTAGAAAAGGCGGAGTAAATTCCATCAGTGTCCCCATCTACCAAACCTCACAGACGAATTAGGATGATGCCATCTCTTCCAGAGCTCATGCCACTGGCTGCATCCAGCCACCCTCCGCTAGTGTGGCCTCCGGACAGACTCCCCTCTATTCTGGTGGTGGCCGACATAGAGCTGGCAGCCTGCAATTACCTGGCCATCCTGTTTGCTCTCTTTAAATACCGGTTACAGTATTTGCTTGCTCCAGCCTTTGGGAACATTACCAGCATCTTTGAAGTCCTGGAATGAGAAAGCCAGAGCGCTCCTTGGCAAACTCCCCTTGTGTGTGAGCTGTGGAGTTGCTGATGTTGGGGAAAAAGGGAAAAAAAAAAAAAAAAAGAGGTTTAACAGCTGTTTTCCTGGAGTGCGGCGTGAAGGTGGCACCAGGCTCTGTCTCAGCACTGTTCGCAGAGCACATCTGCCTGTCCTGTGTTTTTATCGATGTTCCTGGGCAGCACTGGCCCGAATGGCAGCTGGGCTGCCTGTGCTTCTCAAAGAGTACATCAAAGCATTGCCGCGCAGGGACGACGCGTACGCGGCCCCACACCCCCAGATGTTCAGCAGCGCTCGGGGACGCGTGTGCAGAGAAATACTTCGGCACAGCCCCTCCGGGCGGGCTCGGTGCTCCCCGGCCATCTGGAAACGCATCTGCCGCAGGGCGAGGACCTGCCCTCCATGCTGAAGAGCTAACGGGGAAACAGGGATGCAACATCCCCAGCAGCGGGTGCGAGGGGCTGGGATGAGGCTGGAGGGATCATCCCCATCATCCCCGCCAGCCACAGCCTGGGCCAGGGGGTCCTTGCTCAGGCCTGCAGCAGGAGGAGTGGTCCCCGGGTGAGGGGCTGCGGTCCCCAAGCAAGGGTCTGCCCCCCTGGCCACGCACACGAGTGGCATCAGGGGGACAGAGGGGCCAGGCTGGGCAGATGCCGCCTCTCCTGTGGCTCTGCCCCCCCTCCTGTTTCTCCCGATGCTTGCAATTAGGCAGGATCCCCAATTAGAAGGTGTGGAGCCCAGGCTTGTTTTGCAGATGATAAACTACTTCGGTCTGCCCCACCCAACCCAGCTGCGGGCGTGAGGCTTCGGTGTGGGGGACACAGCCCCACAGCAGGGGTGAGCGGGGCCCTGGCAGGCAGCACACACAGCCCCCCCACTGCACCCATTATCTTCTGAGCGGGGGGGCGAGGAGCAGGGTGCAGTCCCTGCAGTGGCTGGCTGCTGGTGAGGTTACTGGTGAAAGTTGCTGGTGCAGCCACCAGCAGGGCACAGCTGCAGCACTGATGGCTCTTGCCTGTGCCCCATGGCAAAGCTGACCCACTGCCAAGTGGGACTCGAGGTCGAGCACCCACAACCCACACAACTCCAGCGGGGCCACCCGGGTGGGCACAGGGTGTCCTGGGGAGACAAGGCTCCCTCTGTGGGGCTATTTGCGAGGGGAGCATCGTGCTGTGCGGAGGTGGCTGCCAGGGGTCCTGTCTGGGATGATGGAGGCACTTGGGGGGCTTGGTGGCTCCCACCCCTCTGGCTTCCCTCTGGCCACTGGGACAGGTTTCAGGAAAGCTTTGCAAATGCTGTGGTGAGTGTTGAAAGCTCTCATTGGAGCGAGGTTGCAAAATCATCCCCGGGGCTCCTCTTCAAACGCAGAGAGTCCCATGAGCTGACCTCTCCGGGACTCACCTTTCCTGCTCTGCCAGACGCTGTCACCTCCTACCACGCACAGCCAGAAAGCAGGTCCTACCACCCCGCTGCCCCGGCCCAGCGGAGACGCAGCGAGAGGCTTTTCTGTCAGCAGGTGAGTACCCTGGGTCCGGAGCGGCTTCATCGGCCAGTGGGGACAGGGATGGCTCCGGACAGCAGGACCACGCTGAGGCCGTGCCTGCAGCACTGGGCATCGCCCCCGGGCAGAGGCAATGGGTGCAGGACAGCCCGCCTGACCCCGGTCCCCATCCCCACAGTCTTAGGGAGCAGCGAGCTGGCACCATCCCACCCTCATGTCCCCTTGCCCCGGGGGCAGCAGCCTGGCATGGGGGTCCTGCAGCACGGAGGTGGCTCCTCCAGTGCCTCCCGAGAAGCTCCTTGCCCAGCGTCACGGGAAAGACAGGCCAGGGTGGGAGCACCCCCAGAGAGCAGGGACATGTGGGACCCCTCTGCACTTGGGCCCCAAAATACTCTGGCTGGGCAAGCTCGTGGGGTCGGGAGCGTGTTTGCTCCCAGCCGCAGCTTGGGAGGCCCCAGGGACACGTGGAGCGGCACGGCGTGGCACAGCACAGACACAGGATGAGCAAGGAGGGAGAAGAAGTGGGAGGGAGACTATGGGAGTGAACTGAGCAGCTGGGTACAGTCAGCGTGGGCGGCTGGGAATGCCAGGCCGGTGGGTTGTACACACCTGGGGGGCTGCACCCCCGGCTGGGATGTGGCCAGAGCTCTCCGTGGGCACTGGTGGGGCTGGAGGGAAGGCGAGAACTGGGCTGGGGCTGTGGAGAGTGGGCAGGGCGGCGGGGGGCTCAGCCCTGGCAGCGGGTGCTGATGTTCCCTGAGGCTCCCGGGTGGGAGGATGCTGGGGCTGTCTCTGTCCCTGTGCAGGGCTGGGACAGGGCAAGAGGAGCTGGTTGCTGACACCCACCACCCCGCTCCCAGCTCTGGTGCTTGCCGTCAGCGTCTGAACAAGCCACGCTGCAGCAGAGGTGCCATGGGACCTGGGTGCATGGGCGTCCTGGGCTGGCTGCTGCTGGTGCAGGCAGCATTGCAGGCAGAAGGTAAGTGCTGGGCTTGTGACCCCAGAGCAGAGGGCTGCAGAGCTCAGCAGTTTAGGGCAGCAAAGCCACGGGTTTGGCATCTGTGGTGGGTTGAAGGGGTGAGCTGGGGTCTTGCCGCAGCCCTTTTGTGCCTGCCTGGTCTCTCCTCCCGCCGCAGGCGGCCGGCCCTGCGATGCCAGGGACTTTGGTCACGGCTCACTGGTGTGCGCCTGCAGCGCCGTGTACTGCGACACGCTGGACCCCGTGGTCCTGCCAGCGCCGGGCACCTACGTCAAGTACGAGAGCAGCAAGGCCGGAAAACGGCTGGAGCGCAGCGAGGGGAGCTTCCAGCGCAATGCCAAGACCTCAGGTACCCGCTGTGGCCAGACACCTGCCTGCGCAGACAGAGTCTGTCCCTCCACAGTGGCTGTGACAGCGTTTGTCCCCCGCAGATTTCCATCTCACCCTGGACATGGCACAGCGGTACCAGAAGGTGAAGGGCTTTGGTGGCTCTGTCACAGACTCAGCTGCCATTAACATCCAGTCCCTGTCCAAGGATGCCCAGAATCACTTGCTTCGTTCCTATTTTTCTGAGGAAGGTGAGCCTGGAGCAGGGCAATGCTGCTGGGTGGAGGGGCCGGTCTGTCTGGCCTCCCATGCTTGGGGTCTGACAGCTAAGACTCACACCAAGGGGCTGGGAGGCTGCTGAAAGCCGGGGGGATGCACCCCCCTGAATACACCCCAGGGATGCTCATCCACCCACCCTGTCCCCAGGCATCGAGTACAACCTCGTGCGCGTCCCCATGGCCAGCACCGACTTCTCCGTCCGCCTGTACACCTATGCTGATGCGGAGGGTGACTTCGAGCTGAAGCACTTCAACCTGACAGAGGAGGACACACGGATGAAGGTGAGTCCTACAGGCCAAGCCCGAGGCACTGGGACTTGCAGCCCGGGTGGGCTGTGCTGGGGAAGGGGAGCACCTTTTTGCTGATGGGGAGGGAGAGGACTCGTCCTGCCGCCTGCGATGCCATCACTGGGGCAGACACGGGGAGCTCACTGCCATCCCGGTTGTCCCCAGATCCCCATCCTCCGGGCAGCCCAGGAGGTAGCCAAGTGGCCGCTGTCACTGTATGCCAGCCCCTGGACCTCCCCGGTCTGGATGAAGACGAACGGCGCGATGACAGGGAGGGGGACACTGAAGGGCAGCCCTGGGGACAAGTACCACCAGGCCTGGGCCAAGTACTTCATCCGGTGAGGGGCCAGGGGAGCACAGCGGGTGCTGGGGTCACCGTGCCTGGGGCTAAGGCTGGTGCTGCTGCGACGGGGCTGTTCACCATCTGCCCCTGCGCGCAGGTTCCTGGATGAATACGCCAAGCACAACCTGACCTTCTGGGCAGTGACAGCGGGGAACGAGCCCACGGCTGGTGAGATTGTCTTCTACCCCTTCCAGTGTCTGGGCTTCTCCCCCGAGCACCAGCGGGACTTCATCGCGCGGGACCTGGGCCCCGCACTGGCCAACAGCTCCCACCGCAACGTCCAGCTCATCATCCTGGACGACCAGAGGGTGATGCTGCCCTACTGGGCCCAGGTGGTGAGTTCCCACAGCGGCTCTCCCAGCCCCACAGCAGCTCTCCCAGCCCTGTGCACTGGTGACTCCTTTCTCCTGCCAGGTTCTCAAAGACCCTGTGGCCGCCAGCTATATCAGCGGCATCGGCATCCACTGGTACCTGGACTTCCTGGCACCCATCGACCTCACGCTCTCCATCACCCATCACCTCTTCCCAGACTATTTCCTCCTCTCCACAGAGGCCTCCACCGGCTCCTACTTCTGGGAGCCCAGGGTGGTGCTGGGTGGCTGGGACCGTGGCAGCAAGTACAGCCACAGCATCCTGACGGTAGGGCTTGGTGGGGGCCACTGATGCGCCGGCCACCCCCCTGCGCCTGCCCGCAGCTCAGCGCCATCACCTG